CAGGTTGCGGGCTCCATTCCCAGTAAGGGGCGACCAGGAGGCAGCCAATCAATGTCAATAAACATATTTTTTTAAAAAAGACATAATGCTGACCTCGACTCTAACCACCGATCCAGAACAGGTGATTCCAAACGTGAGGAACAGACCCGCCAGGGCCCTAGGCCTCCTCTGGCCCCGCCCCCGGGTCTCACAGGCATGGCCCTCCGGCCAGACCGCGTACCTGGAGAGCCGGTCGAACATGTTCACCAGCTTCATGGCCTCGTGCTCCTTCTGCTCCTCCGTCATGCCCTCCATGGGGTTGGGCGGCTTCTCCTCCACCCTCCCAGTCACCGGGTTGATGCTGCTTCCCGGGGAAGGAGTGTGGGGGATGCACTGAGTCCCCGGCCAGGAAAGCTGTGGGCGGGGGCACTGCCGGGGAGCCCTCTCCCAGAGGCGGTTAGGCAGCTCCTCCCTCGGGCTGGTCCCCCGGGCCCCCCCTTTCCTCTGTTCTCAGCCAAACTATGGACGCCAGGACCCGGGTCACCCGGGGACAGACCCGGGGACAGGCCCGGGCCCAGAGGGTGGGAGAGCCCGAGGGCGCAGACACACCTGGCCTTGGCCTCCTTGTACTCCTCCGTGTCCGTGTCCTCGTCCTCCGAGTACTGGCCCTCAGGCCGGCCCCCTGCCATGAGGCCCCGGGCAGCCAGGAGGCCGGCGGCGTTCCCGTAGCCCGTGTACTTGATGAAGCGGGGCACTGTGGGCAGGGGCGGGGCAGGTCACTCGTGCCTCGGTGGGCTGGCTCCTTCCGGCCGAGTGGGTGGAGCTGGGCATCTTGGCGATGGCGCGGGGCCGTCTTTCATTTGTGTTGAGGTGAAGGTCACACAACCCAAGGTGACCGGTGGTAAAGGCATCTCTACCGTCACCTGGTGTGCAGCCGCCCCTCTAGTGGGAAGCACATGCTTCACCCCCAAAGGGAACCGGGTCCACACATCCGTGAGCCCGTCCCGCCACCCTGCCCCCCGGAGTTGGAGTCACAGTAGAGCCTCCCTGCAGCTGGGGCGCTGAGACCGGGGGTAACCCGCGCAGAGCACGTGGGCTGGTCACGCTGCTCTGCTGTGGGAGGGAGATCTCGTGGTGCCTGTGCCCGTCATGGTTGTGCTTCCTCCTCGGCCCTTCCCGTGTCCCCAGGCCGAGGTGATGGGGGACAGGGTCCCCCGCTGCACAGTCTGCACCGGCGTCGTGAAGCCCGACATCGTGTTCTTCGGGGAGGCGCTGCCCCAGAGGTTCCTGCTGCACGTGGTGGATTTCCCCACTGCAGACCTGCTGCTCATCCTGGGCACCTCCCTGCAGGTTGGTCCCAGGGCAGGGGAGCAGGGAGTACAGGGGGCAGTGGTGCTGGGAGAGTGTGGGGGGAGCAGGGTGAGTGTAGGGGGAGGG